TATATATATATATATATATATAATATATAGAGTCAAGATCAAATAAGAAGGAAATTTTTGGTAGGAAGGTAAGAAGTTTTTTTTCTACATATTTTTTCGCGAACAAAAAAATGAATCATTAGATGATTTCATTTGTAAGATGATTACAAGAAAAAATTTTCAAAAAAACATCTCGATGATTCATTATATAATGATTTTGTTGTTATTCACTAAAATTGTCATAAAAGTAAATTTTTTCTTAATTTACTTAAAAATGAATCATAAAGATGTTTTTTTGAGAATTTTTTCTTGTGAATCATCTTACAAATGAATCAACTAGTGATTCATTTTTTTTGTTCGTCAAAAAAATATGTAGAAAAAAAAAATTCTTACCTTTCTACCAAAAAAAAATTTCTTACCGGATATATAATATATTATATATATATATATATATATATATATATATAATAATAATATATATGTATTTGGGGGGGGGGGGGGGGGGGGGGGAATATGTTATAATACAAATATTTTTCAAAATTATTATTGATCGTATAATATTAGTTAGATAATTATCCTTATACCATTAGGAGGATATTATGCTCGATAGATACTCTGCCAAAATTTTAAAGACAACATTATGCCTAGTTATTATACTAACTCACAATGATAGAAAACATCATATCTAGTTGTTACGCTGACTAGTTGCCAGGAAACACTGACCAAACAAAAATTTAATGGTATAAAGCTATATAAGTATGCTCGTATAAATATATCTACTACCCACAACACGAATCCACAAAATCACAACTCAGGATTTTAGGTCAAAAACAATATCTAGAGTTGGTATAGTACAACGAACATACCACAACTAGACCTAGAATGCACAACTAAGTTTTATTATGGTCCGACTAACACACGACCGAACTCAGATATGATAGTTGGCAATCTAAACGCTCGAGGATTTCTGTATTAGATGCTTAGTTTCAAGGATTATACACTTGGAGATTCTTTTTTAAAGGCTTTCTACGTTTTAGGATTTCTGGCTTAGCGGCATCTACACTTGAGGATTCTTGGCTTAGGAACCGATATTTAGGATTTACAACATAGTACGAAGACTCAGGACTTATGAGTACTATCTATTACATACTTATAATTGGATATTATATAGTATATAATTAATCTTCACATCTCCCATATAACATCTTTCATGTTTGATGCCCTATGCATGTTTGTCGGAAAGTTATGATGGGCGCAGGATCATGGAGGACGGTTTCCCTTCCAGTGGAGGAGCAGCCAGTATCTGGCACTACCGACCCTACAAACACTCCAACAGTGCTCACGACTTCTGATGAGGAGCCGATGGAGGACAGTGATGAGATCGAGGCTGATGACATCTTTGGTTCGGATCCTTCCAAGCCTGATTACACTTAGGGGTGTGCAAAAAAACCGCAAAATCGAAAAACCGAGCCGAACCGGCTAATCCGAAACCGAAAAAACCGGATATCAACAGGTCGGTTTTTGGTTTTCATATTTAGGTATCCGCAGATACCTGAACCGAACCGTTTGATAATATATATATATATATATATATATATATATATATATATATAAAGTAAAAAAAATATTATTTTATTAGTATTGTTTTGATTGATCTACCAGTTTAATAACCTAAATAAAAATCCATATCGACAACTCCAATTTTGTAATTTTAAATTCATTTGATTTTCTTGTTATTTTTATTATTGTATTTATTATATAAATTATAAGATATGATATTTAAACTTCATTATGTGTTTTTTTAACTCTTTGACTTACTAATTTTAAGAAATATATAATTAAAATGGAGCTTGTAGTTTCAATTTAATTTAATTTTTTATTCTTTACCGGGTACCCGTGAACCGAACCGTGGTTATCCGGTTTCATACGGTTCGGTTTTTTTGTTAATACGGTTCGGTTTCGGTTAGTGCACATCAGGTACCCGCCCCGTGGTTAGATTCACAATTTTATTACTATCCGAACCGAACCGCTACGTGAACACCCTTAATTATACTCCATCCGAGCACATCAACCCAGACCTTTCCGAGCCTGACTACACACCAGCTAAGCACGAGAACATCATCTCAGACTATGAGCTGGAAGAGGGAGAGGATGATACCACCACTTTCCTAGAGATCTCACCATCCCTTCCTACTCCCTCACACATATCCTATCGATCATGCGCTACTAGTACTCGAGTTAAAAATACCATGATGAAGACTACATCGATCCCCTCTAGGAAGAGGCCAGCATCCCCATCACCAACAAAGAAACATTGTAGTAACTATACATGGATGCCTCAGATTAAATCATGACGATAGGAGGAGGATATCGGTTTCCACTTCGAGGTAGGGGAGTCCTTTACGCAATTTTTAGCCTCAGATTAGCAGTGTACAGTCCGAAATTCGAATATTAGATCGAGCAGTTTTTAGCCGACACAACCTAAACGAGAATCGAAGATCTCGTTAAGAGTAGCGTAACGAGAGAAAGATGGACGAAAACGGACGTTGGATGAAGAAGTTATGAAAATTTAATGGACCAACCCTGTCCCGGCCTGTTAATAATATAAAATTTAAAATCAAGTCAAAATTAGCCGACAGAGTCTAAACGAAAGTTGTAGAGTACGTTCCCACCTTCGCGTGGATATAAAGAACATCGAAAACAGAGCTCGTATGCGAAAGTTATGATTTTTAGAAGTCGAGAATGCAATTTGCGAAATCTGTTGGTGGACTGATGATGTGCCTCAATCCTGACTGTCGCTTGCTGATCATGGCTCGCTTCGGATGAAGGACACGTCGCCTTCGCATTACGCCCAGCTTCCGAATTCTGTACGCCCCGCGTACCCTCACCTTTATCCATCCAACGTACGAAGACAGCTGGGTCCGAGCTAGTGGCCTTATTCGAGGAGTACGCCCAACATAATTTCCGAGATCAGGCGCCTATAAAAGGCATGTGAAGGGTCCGAACTTCTTACTCATTTTTCACTCCAAATTCCATTCTCTCTCTAGTTTCTTTCTCTCTCTAGGGTTCCAAACCCCTCCTAAACCCTAGGAAAACCCCTTAGCTCCCGAGGGAAGTCCCGAGGCTTCCGGAGTCCCGAGAAAAGGGTCTTTCGGTTTCGAAACGCTGCTCCTTATTAAGTTCCAGTTTTCGATAAAATTCTCTGTAAGTGTGCTCCGCTTACGCAATTTTTAATGTAGCTTTCAAATAATTATAGGAATGTTATTAGGTCCTTAAAATAATTATTTGGCTATTATTATGAGTTATATTGAGTGTTATTAACGCTTATATAATAATAATAATAGTCAGACTAATTAATTTGTCGCGATTATCGTTAGACTAAACCCTAGTGGTATTGATACTAGGTTTTATTGAAGGAAATTGTTTTGAGAGTATCGAAGCGCTGTCCGAGTGCTGAATCACCACCTTTCAGGTGAGTGCATAGTCCCTTTCATCTTACACATATATATGAAGTATTTTAATATAAATTACGTGCTATGTGTGCCTATTGTCTGAATACTTGCTGTCTATGCTGGGTGAAAGATTTTTATACATGTTTTAAATGAATTAAACTGTATATGTATTTTATATTTACAAAATGTGTTGGGTAAAACATGGGTAGATGAAATAGTTGTTTTGTGATAACACGATGGCAGACATCAGTGTTGTCAGTGATCCAGTCATCTAGTGGAGTATAGATGACGACCATGGACGATACTAGACGGTCCAGTGGAACGATAGCTAGCTCGTAACCTGTAGGTGTTTTTGAACTAGGTGCTCATTAGGTATTTTTGAACTAAGTGTGTTCACTAGGTATCTTTGAACTGAGTGTGTTCACTAGGTATTTTGAACTAAGTGTTTTCACTAGTTACTTTTGAACTAAGTGTTTACCAGATGTTTCAGACTACATGTTCACCAGATATATTCTATAAGCCTTGGTAATGATGGACTTCGTGTCGATTCCTTAGGATGATCCTTAGGAATAAATAAACGAGGAATAGCTGATTCTTAGGGTAGTTCCTTAAGACTAAAGAAGATAATAGGGATGGGTAATTGGGTTGATTGTTTAAACATAATAATTATATTATTGTAGGTTGAAAACCCTATGTACTCACCAGGTTTCCTAACCTGACCCACTCAGTTTATTTACATCACAGGTGTTGATATGAAGTCACATTACACTGAGAGATTAAAGAGATGTAGATCACTAGTGTAAATAAATGTAAGTTCCGTTTATGCTTATGTTTCTGTATTGACGATGACATCCCAAACGTTTTAACATAAATAAAATACATTTTTTCGAAAATGTTTTAATAACATATTTATCGTGTTTTTCTGGGAACAAATTCCGCAACACTTTTATGAAAAAAAGTACTCTGATTTTTATAAACCATAAACAAAATCGGTCTTTTCTGGCCGTGATTTTGGGGATGTCACAGTCCCGTGTACCATTATCAAAGGGTCCATATGTTTATATTGCCAAAGGAAGGGTCATTAGTTGCGAAGCTGCCAAACTTACCTAAGGATGTTAAAGTCAATAAGTTTGACTCTACTTAAGGTAAAGTCCACTATCTAACTCTGCTAAGTTTCTATTATGAGATTCTTGATATATGATGTGACTGGGTCACATGGTGATGTATTAAGAATCAAAGAAAAGTGAAGAAACTTAAAGAAAGAATATGTTGAATCTGATTGCATAGATGGATTTCTATCACATAGTTTGAAGATTGGATTCTTGAGCTACTTCTTAGGAGTTATGAGATATTGCTTAGGAATAGATAACAACAAGTTTTCATATGGATTGTAAGGATAAGTTTTTCCACAAAAGGTTTAAAATAAAAGAAAATTTTATTTTATTTATTTTGAAATATCCTTACAATGGCATTTGAGGAAAATTGTTGCTTATATGATTCCATTAATAGCTAGAGTGGAAATATGAAATTGATTCTTTCAGTTGTGGTAATGTCTAAATTTACCAAATAAGGAAAGATTCTCATCACCCAAGTTTCAATTGGATCGGAACTTGGAATCATGCAAGTTGTATAGCATGATGAGAGAGAACTTTCAAGAATTGGAAAATTAAGACTAACTACTTGTTCACATGGATGTGTGAGTCAAGTAACGGACTAAGGGATCGAGTACACATTCTTGTGCACTAGTCAAGTCCACCACAAAAGATCGATAAGGTTATTCGTCATAATTTACTAAAGCTCAGTAAATATGGTTATACTTACAAGCTTAAGTGTAATTCTGAGACATTGGAAAAGGTTCCAATGTAAGGCAGAGCGAATAAGAAGAATCAACTTAGGCAGAAGGATAAAAGTTTCTCAAATCTGTAAAGATGGGAGAGTACTTTAGTATCAGTTTTGTGATCATCTTAATGATTAAGAAACCATAACACAATTAGTTCTCTAAGGAAATCTTAGTGCATTCTTATGACTAAGAAGAGGAATCTTGAATTGTTGAAATGGTTAAATCAAGAAGATGAGTCATACTTCGTTCCAATACAAGTCTTAGAGTCATACTCCAAGATTGTAATTTGAGTGACATGTCTTAAAGAAGGTTTAAAAACACTTATCAAATGTAAGAGTAAAAGTTTCCTACTCTTGTACATTTGACATTGGTAAGTTGTGATGTTTTGGATAAAACAAAGACCAACTAAGGCCAATTGTGTGAAGTGTTTGTCTTGATTAGAATCTGCACTATCTCTTGGATGTTTGACAAGGGAGTTTTATAGGTCAAGAGGACAGTGGGAGTCTTAAAGGTCTTGAAAGTTTCAAGAACTAATCAAGAATAAAACCTGAAGTTCTTCACTAGCACACGATTTGAGATTTATAACCTATCATGTTGACATATTTTGTGCCCATTCCAGTTAAAGTTGGCTTTGCATATGAGTTCTCAATTGGTTGCACAACAACTTGGATGAAATGGCAGGCCCTTGAGCTGCCAGGTGGCAAGAAATCAAGATTGAGTTCAGTCCATATGAGTTTGGATTTGTCATTATCCTTGTCTTGTGACTATGGTTTTGACAATTCACATGGATAAGAACACATACACCAGTAAATCTAAGTGTCATAAGGTTTCTCTCCGATTCATGAAAATGATGGTGAGGAAACTCTCTCATTAAGTAGATTTTAGCTAGATAGCAATTGTAATATTTGCACTCTCAAAGTCGTTACTGGAGCGTGTGTGGTTTACCGGCACACTAACCTGGACTTGTGAGAAGTGGCAAAAGTCTAAACACGAGACTATGATTACGGCATCCCTTTTCACAGTTCTTAAAATTGTTCAGACACACATGTGAGCTATCTAAGATAAGGTGTATGATATTGATAAAGTTTTATCAAAGCAATCTAGTATTAGAAATCTGAACTTTGGTAAGAAAGTCAATAAAGTATTGATTTCTAGAAGTCCAACCAATTTCTGGATACATGTCAAAGCTAGTAGGAGCATAAATGTTATGCTAATAATCATCATGTTAGTGGGAGCATGATAATTATGATAAAGATTGCAAGTTAGCAATGTTAATCATAGAAAAGCAAGTTTCAATTGGGAAAGAGTTGTTTTGCTATAATTAAGGGAGAGGAAATTATACTTCATCTCAAATCTAAAAGCTTAGATTGAGGTTTTAATCCTATTTCGTCAAGGAAATATATATGAATTTCATGTTGCAATGGCTCAACATAAGGAAATTCTGTATATGGGTCCATTATTTGCGTTCTAAAATTCGATTATGATTACGACATCCCTTTTCATAATCTGAATTATGAGAACTTGGTAAAAATTGAAATGGTAATAGTATAGCAAACGATTGGTTTAGTCTTTATGTGAGACATCATGAATCATGTCCCATATGCTTTGGATATAGGATTGATTACATGTGCTATATTCATCCTTTCTAAAATTTTCCAAATGCCTGGGGGATTAAGAAGGGAAACGGTTTAGAACTGGATATGACTAAAAGGATTAAACAATTATCGAGGACAATCTATGGTTTACCAAAGATTGGGTGCTCAAGGACAGTTGGAAGTATAGTGATAATTCTGGAAGGACCATATTGACATAGTCTGGAAAGAGGTAGCTCTTGTTCAGAAGTGACAGTCAAAATGGAATCTGGAAATGTTTCAAAGTTAGATTTTTTTGTTTAAGATTAGGAAACTTAATGCAAGAAGGATGTTTCTAAGGAGCTGATCTCCTTGGAATGCTCCGTAATGGTTGTTGTCAAGTCTTTCTGACTTCGTGCATAATCATACATGAGGATCAATGCATATAAGTTTAGAATCTAAAAGATTTCAGTAAATTGCATAAATTTGGA